TTTTTTTGTCTATTAGACTCATATCTGGTGGTGGATTGTGGCGGTGGTACTGTAGACTTAACTATACGAACGTTGTTAGAAAATAAAACACTTGATGAAGTCACCGAACGTTCAGGAGCATTGTGTGGTGGCGCTTGTGTAGACGAAAATTTCATTAAATTCTTGGGAAAAAAAATTGGAGAAGACACGATTATGAAGTTTAAACAAAAACATTATGGCGAATATCAATACTTAATTAATAACTTCTTCTGCTCAAAGATCAAATTTTGCTTCACAGGTGAACCTTCAAATGCAAGAAAAAGAATAATTTTGGATCTTGATAGAGAGTGTCCCAGACTTAAAAAATATGTAAAAGATTGTGTGCGGATTCCAATAAATTTTGATGATATTGTTTCCATGTTTGATCCAGTTATAGATCAAATTATCAATTTAATAGAAAAACAACTCGCAAATACTACTAAAAAATGTTCGGCTATGTTTTTAGTTGGTGGTTTTTCTGAATCCATATATCTAATTAAGAGAATAAAAGATCGATTTAGAATGGAGGTTCCACAAATTAATGTACCCCAAAATCCAATTACTAGCGTCATTCGTGGAGCTGTTATGTATGGTTTAAACAAAAATATCATAAAAAATCGTATTTTGCCAATGTCTTATGGTAAGTTGAAATCATTTTTATAACAGTCTTTGATAATTATTTAACGTTCTCACTTAAAATAGGTTTTGAGGTTTATGAAAGAACAACAACTCGATTTGACAAATTTGGCTGTATTGCAAGTCGTGGACAAAGGATTGCACTCGAAGAAAAATTTACCAAAAAATGTATTCCTGTTTATGATGATCAAAAAGCCGTTCATTTTAAGGTTTTTGCTACTTCAAAAACTAATCCCGAATATTGTAACGAAGATGGCATGAAAGAAGTTGGGGATTTACATATTGAGCTACCCGATGATAATTCATCTTCAAATAAATCTGAAGTGGAGCTTTCCTTAACATTTGGCGAATTATTAATTACTGCCACAGCTAAAAATAAGGAAAATAAAACTTTGACTGCAAAATTTACATATGCTAGGCCAGAATTTGTTGAGCTAGCTTAACCACCTCATAATTATTGTATTTTTTAGTTGGAAAGTTATTGATATTATTTCCACAATAATTATATACTATTTATATTATTTCCACAATAATTATATACTATTTATATTATTTCCACAATAATTCTATATTTAATTTCTCACTTATTTATATATTGAAACTGAAGTTATTGAGAATTATTATAACATGATCTTTCTTATAATAATTAATAAACGTTAATAAGATTACCTATACATACAG